CTTCCTCCTGCATTTGCAGGTGACTGGTGTTAACCTCACCCCCTCCCTGGACCTGGGGATAGACTGAGGCTGAGAGCAGATGCTCCTGCACAGGGCAGCTGGGAGCCATTCCTGGCCTAGGGCGACTGAATAACCAATCAGCCGTCCCTAAGCACCTACTGTGTGCAAGGCAGTGAGGATGCAAAAATGAAAAGACATTTGGGGATGGACAGGCTTATGAGCATGTGGTAGAAGCACAAGCAGAGCCTTGGGGTGTAGGGCAGCTCTTCCTGGGGGCCGAGTGCTCCTGACAAATGGAAGAAAAGCTCAGCCTTTGGGGGATGTGGAAAGAGGGGGCTGGGTGGGCAGTGGACACGTGGAGAACGGCCTTGGGGCTGTAGGTTTCCTTCTAAAGGCAATCGGAGAATTCCACCAGAGAATCCTGAGTAGAGAGTGGCGTAACCACATGGGCAGGTAGAAAGGCTCGCTTGGTGGCTGGTGGGCCGGTGAGAGCAGTTTCTGGAGAGGGGCTGCCCTGAGAAACGCACTGGACAGGGAGGGTGGGTTAGTGGTGAGGCGAGTAAAGAACGTAGAATGGGGAGGAGATGAGGAGAGACTTGGGAGGGAGGGTGGACGGGATTCGGAGTCTGGCTGGGGTTCCTGGATCTGTGTGGCGGAGTGCCCGACTCTGCCCCGTCCAGTGGTGCCAACACCCGGGGGGGTAGAGTGTCCGGGAGGGCCGGAGAGATGCTGCCTGAGCACGGCCAGTTTGTGCAGGCTGCTCGGCAAGTGATTTGAAGCCAAAGGGTGCACACCAGCTTGCAGACATTTGGATAAACACAAACTGCTGCCCTCATGTGCCAGGGTTGCCGAGAGAGCTCCCCAAAAGAGCAGTGGGGGTTGGGGAAGTGGCATGGCCGGACGTGACCCACCCGTATCTGCTAAACACTAAGCACAGTCCCTCTTTCCCCTCCACCCCCGCTCACTGCCTCCCGCCAGGATTCCAGAAGCTTCAGTGCCAAGAGTGGATTGCCAGGCAAGAAAGGAAGAGGGGGAGGAGGGACCGGGAGGGAGAGGGTGTTGTTGCAGGCCTGCCTCCAGGTCCTGGGCCCTCCCTCCTGTCCCCGCAAGAAGGACCAGCTTAGGTGCTACCAGTCTTCCCTTTGAGGGATGGGTCAGGGTTGTCAGGCAGGAGTCCTGCCTCTTCCTGCGTCTGGTCTGTCTCATGGAAGTGAGGCTAACGCTCCTCCCTTAGACATAACATGTTCCTGGGAGTGCTGATGCCTTCTGAAATAGCTTTTTCAGACATCGTAAGGGACGGGTTCGGGGTGAGGTAAGAGATCCTGGCAGAGCCATGGTTCTCAGGGGTGTTATTCGGACATTAATGGGTACTAGGAGGGGTACCCATTAATGTACTCCAGGAGGGGTAGGGCCCTGTGGGGAGCACACGTGGCACCAGGCAGCTTCCTCCTTCATGCATCTGCCCAGAGAGCTGGGGCTCTAGGTGCTGTGGGAGTCAGGCCCCCCCACCCTCCGCAAGTGCTCCCAGGACCCTTGCGCCTCTTCTCCAGCCATCTGGTCTCCCTCAGAGGGTCTCAACCCACTGCTTCTCGTGTTGCTCGCTCAGTTCTGTCAGCTTGACTGGCTGTCGAGGTTCCACTCAGTTTCCACCTCTCCTGCCAGGCCCATGCTCAGTCCCCAGGGCAGGTCCTCCTGTGCCCAAACTGCTTTAGAGACTAACAGACGGCATGGCATGGCACAGCCCGTCGCCACCTCCTCCTTCCTGTGGCTTCACATGGATCTTGCCTTCCAGCGGAGCAGCCTCGTAGTAACGGGGAACTTTGGTGGGTGTTTAAGGGGCACCTTGACCTTGATCGGAGCTCTGGAGGCCTGCCTGGTAGATGGGTTTGTTTTCTGTTTCCCAGATCCTGGGCTGTGGCCCAGGACGATGCCATCATTCTCTCTGCCAGTAAGTTACAAGGATTTGCAGCCTGGGGCCTGATGCTGGGCAGCTGTTAAACTCCTTCCGGACTCTGTTCCCTGTGATTCCTAGATTCCCTGTGCCTCCCCCTTCCTCCCCGGACTTCCTGCCTCCCTCTCTGGCTGGGGAGCCGGTCCCCAGCACCTTGCGTCCCACCCACCCACCGAGGTGGGCTGAGTGCTAGTTCCTCTGGTCAAAAAACGTCTCTGAGGGTCCCCTGGGAAATTTCAAACTTCCTGAGGTGTGTTCTCCGCCCTTCTGGAACTGGTCCTCCGTAGAGGGCTTTTCCCTGCGAGGCCATCTCCCTTCAGACCCCATCTCCCTTCAGCCCCCTCCCCCAGTTAGGGGGAACACAGATGCCATCACAAGACAGCATTGCTTGTGCTGCTTAACTGACACACAAGCTAAATGCATCACCTGACTGTATCAGAGGGTCTTTTCTGGGGAAGGGGGGCCTTTCTCTTAAGGGCTTTGGGGGTTGGTGGGGGTGGGGTGTTGCACGGGGGAGGTGAGCAGGCAGAGGTGCCAGCCCCTCTTCCTTCTCTGGCTGTTTCTGTCCTTGCAGACTGGAGGCCGGTGCTGAACCTCGCTGCCCTGGACTGTGCTGACGAGACCAACAGCGCAGTCTGCAGAGACTTCAACATCCCCGGCTTCCCGACCGTGAGGGTGCGTGACGGGGAGTGGGGAGCGGGCCTGGGGGCCGGGTGGAGGTGGGGGTGTAGGCGGGGGAGCGGCTGCCAGCTCTGAGCTTCTCTGATGCTCCTGGTCTGTTTAAATCCCAGCCGCCGAGACACCGTAAAAAGCAGAAAGGGATGTGAGTTAGGAGGCAGAAAAGAAAGAGGTTCACGCAGTTTGGCAAGTCCCCTTTATAAGGGAAGGGGGCTGTGTGGGGGGCGTGGGGGTGGGCAGATTTCGGCTGTGAAGACATTACCACCCCCTGGGCTGGTGAGAGCTCCCAGCCCCCAGGCGCCTCCTCCCAGTTCCTCTCCCTCCTGACCGCCTGGCTTTGGAGGTCTGATCTAACCCTAGAAAACCAGGGTTCAGGCGCTGACTTGTCCGTGGCAGGGTCAGACTCAGGTGGCCCAGTGGTCCCCCAGAGACATGGGCAAGCCTCATCTTCATCAGACAAGTGTCTTGAACCCCAATAGCTCGGAAGTGACTTGTCAGGGTAGCCTCACCCCACGGTCACAATGCCAGAATGCCTTGGGTGGCAGGGATCTCCATCACGTCACAGGAGGCTGGTGGCACACCCAGCACACGCGGCCCGGCACCATCACCACAGCTCTGGCTGAGTAGCCAAGGCCTTGCCCACCAGCCAGCCACTACCGTCTGAACACGGGAGGCCGAGAGCCCAGAGCAGCAAGGCTGTCAGAGCTACCTAGCACCTTCCCCCGGGCACAGGCCGAGGCTGGAACCGAACCTCTGTCTCTCTAGCTCCAGCTCTAAATAGTCAGCCTCCTCCCACCGCAACGGCATCTAGAAAAGCAGTTTCCTCTAAAGCCACTAACAGTCATCACAAAAGGCCTCTGGCCCCAGAACCAGCTATCTCTGCGCTCGGGCTTCGCGTTCCCAGCAGAACCGGGAGCCACAGCTCAGCCTAATTACTCCGTTCATCTGGGAAGCCGGGCCCAGGCTCCAGCCATGTCCAGCTCGGACTCCATGCGACCTTTCTGTTCCCCGGGGTTCAGGGTTCCCACGGCCGTGGAGCTCCCTTCGCGCTGCTGTGACCACTGAGGGTCAAGGCCGAGCCCCTGGGCACTGAGGCCAGGCTGGTCCGGGGAACAGCGTGGTGAGCCAGCAGCTCCGGCCCTGTCATTCAGAGGTGGCAGCAGAGAGACTGTTCGTAAATCATCCCTTTCCAGTTAAAAGACCTCCCTGGCAGGGCCATGCCCTCTCCTTGGCCCCAAGATATGTACCTGATAATAGTGAAAATTGTTCCCAGGGAGAGAACCGGCCACTCTGTTCCCTGCTGAGCCAGGGTGAGCAGCCCTGTGGGAGCTGTGGGAGCCAGTGAGGCAGCCCGGAGTCCTCCCGGGATTGGGGGGGTGGGGCCTCGGCACAGGGAAAGGGCCTGGCCTTGGCACCGTGGCCAGGTCAAGACACCCTGTGGGGGTTCTGTGGGGCCTGGCACGTGGGCTTTCTGTTTCTGCCTGGGAGAGGCTGGGCTCAGTGGGTGTGAAGGAGGCGGCCAGGCAGCCAGGACGTCTAACAGCTCCTCGATGCCTACCCAGGTCACGCAGCACACGCAGCACACGCAGCCCGACCAGACACGCAGTGAGTGTACAGTGAACACCTGTTAGGATATGTTTTGTTCATAGGAACCTCAGCAGGGACTTCTGATCAGGACAATTGGGGTGCCTGCCTCATGGTGACATAGCTCTCCAGTGGAGACCAAAAACATGGTGCAAGTCTCTTGGTGCCCAATGAGGGACGCCAGGGCTCTCAACCCTGCCTGCCTTGCCTCTGATTCCGACTTTTAGCAATACATCAAGGTTCTGTGTTTGCAGGCACTCTTTATTCTTTCTCTGGCATTTTAATCAGTG